GAGTTATTTGTGATTGAAAAACATTATATAGCCAAATACAATTATCTGTAAGTGTTGCAACAAACTATGCATTGTATGATTGGAGTAAATTCTGAACCATTTTAATGCACACTTGGCAGTACTAATTTTTGTCCTGTATCGTTTTTATATCTGTAGCTCAAACGTCACTGGAAGCTCCACAGTAACTTCAGTATAACGTGGAGAGCATGCATTCATCTCAATCAATCTCATGAAATCATATTTACATAAAAAGAGTCACAAATGTATTCTGTGCAAGTTGTACTCACTGCAGTCCTGTCTAGTGCTAATCACACCACAGAATGACTCTTAACAGTGACCTTGCCTTTAGCTAAACAAAAAACACAATAGCCTGAGCTATCTTTTTTCTATAATCATTTTTAATAAAATCTTTTCTTACACTAACTTTACCCACTGGTAGTTTGCCATTCTCATAACTTTTTCAGTAAGGTAATATATTTAGTTTTAATTAAGGATTATACAGTACAGTTCTACTGAAAAGACTTAGTATGTGACTTGAACTACAAAAATATATTTTATAAAAACTGCTGGATTTCCTCAGACAATCAGTTGTACAATCCATTACAAACTTTCTATTTAGTTCACACATTTACATAATTCTGTTCTCAATGTGCCAAGAAAGTTATTCTCCATTAATCAAGGGCTTGTGGATTTTGTCGTCAGGCAAGTGGATTTTGTCCCTTGCTTGCCTGATAGGAAAATGACAGTTTTTGCAAAACATTTTGCAAGAAAATTCAAATTTCAGAAGTACTGTTCAGAGGAATTATTCATGTTTATTTAATTTAATGTTAACTGGATTGCCCAGACTGGTAAGATAAGGCTTAAAGAAAAGGAGCAAAGTTTTTGGGCTGTACATGTACATCATATAGTTACAGCTTGCCTGAAGGCCAAGCTCAAAAACTGAACTTTTCTTTACACCTTGGTTCTATTTATTGTATTCAATGATGCATTAATTACTGCTGCAGTCCTTACCTTAATTTCATTAATTGAGAAGAAAACTGCCACATTGACTAACAAACCACTTGTCAGGAAATCCAGTTTGGTTTCACACAAACTATATTTTAGATTTGTCAAACTCAGTGAAAGAGTTGTATTTGCATCTGGGTACAGTTAACATTGAAAATGTGTACTTGATGACACACTAAAGAAACTTTCCTAAAATATAGAAGTTGTAAACTCAACAATGAATTCCACTCCTTGTTGACTTGTTGACTTGGTAATGCTTTTATCAATGAAGTGCATCAGGAAATAATTTTTTAAGAAAAAATGTTTTTCCTGGCCATTTATCAGTAATATATAAGATTTACAAAGTAATATCCTGGCCTGACTGTTCAAAGTTCCATTAAGCTAATTTAGGATAGGCATAAATTTTAATTCAGTTTTGTAAACCTCCATGGAGGTTTCTGGTTAATAAATTCTTCAGAACATTAGAAATAAGAAAAACAAAAAAACAAAAAAAAAAAACACTCTTACAGAATGAAATGTCACTGAAACCTTGATCTACTTTTGATCCTTATTAGAGTGATGCAGCTTTCAAACCACTTGGCTCCACAAAACATAAATAAAACTTTGAAAAAGAAGTATTTGATACTGTAGTACTGTAGCCACATGTATGATTGCCAACATTAGCATACTGATGGCTTTGATTTGGAAAATCTCTTATTGCAAAGTTTTTAAGTAATGATATCAGTAATAAAAGAAGATGAGAACTTAAGATGTCCAAATTAGCCTTTTTAAAAGTGAATCTAAGTCTATGATTTTTACATTAAGTAACTGACGGAAGGTCGGTGGGTTATCTTAAATATACAACTTATTATTATTAACCATAAATGCAATAAACTCTTTTTCCTTTATCATTTTCTATAATATCTCTGCCTTGAAGACAAAAATATGGCCACATACTTCTAACAAGTAAGAGTCTTTATCATACAACTAACAACACTGCATTACTTTGTATACAATTAAGTTAGTTACTAGAACTTTAGGGTGCTTTCCATTAAAGCAGAAAAATTGGCATTGAATTTGCCGAAATATTTATGATCGCAAATGGTCTTGGAAGTGCATTCTCTGGAATTTCTAGAAAAGAGGACAACCTCATAAGGTTTGCTCAAATTTTCAAAAAATGTTTACTGGGAATTTCTGTTCCATTTGATTTTCTTCCTGGAGTTTCTGGAATTTTCAGTTGAATGGTTTACATTTCAGAAATCCAACAACTTTCAAGTTTTCCAGAAACTTTCCAGGGAAATCTCCTTTAGTTTACCAATTACCGGGTACCCCTGTTTGGAAAATTCTGGAATTTTAGCTTGAATGAATGGAAAGCACCATGAATGTTTGTAATAATGTTGTTATAAATAAATGTAAAGAATTACATTGTTTTTTATGATTATTTTTAGTTGCAAACAGCATTCACATTTGGCATCTTTCAAGGAACATTTTTGACACAGATCCTACCTGATGATAAACCAAACCCTTGTCAATCAAAATACATGTACAGTAAAGTCTTGTATTACATCAGGGGTAATGTTACAAGAAAATGTTCACAACTGATGTTGAATGAGTCTACAAATCGGCTTAATTTTCAACAAACTTGATGTTCTGACAGTGAATACCCAACATTTTTTATAAAGTCAAAAGTTAATTTTACAAAATTACTATTAACTACTATCTCTCGCTAACTGATACGAGATCAACAGATGATGAAAAACCATGTAGTGCGTCAAGTGACTTTCCAGCTATCTTTGTCGCTTCCACACCTTGAGCTAAGGCATCTTCCCAAGGCACATTACCATTTGGCACTGTTGCAGTTGGGGCTATAAATTAAAATAGATGATGATGAGAATGTCACCTCATTCTTGACAACAACTAATGACTGATCATTGCAGTTATATACACAAATTAAGCAGTTGTGAAATTAAAACCTGAAAAAAATTCAGGCCTGAACAGGATTTGAACCTATGACCATGTTGTGACCATGGTGCAGCGGTCATGGGTTTGAATCCCATTCAAGTTTGAATTTTTTTCAGGGTTAAATTTCACAACTGCTTAAGTTGTGTATACTACTGCAATGATCAATCATGTCTCCATATCTTTCTCTGCAGTTCAAATAAATGATCTTTCGTATATTCACTTGTAACAACTAAGAGTGTTATAGATGGGACTTGACTTACAAACAAAAGGACTGCTTCCAAGAGATCTTGCTTTTACTCTTTCCAGGAATGCATCAAAGTCCTCGACGTCTAGTTCAGTACTAAAAAAAAACAAGAAAAGAAAATTTCAGTGTCAGTTAAACATATTTCATTATGAACCTGAACAAGTTTTATCAAACCCTACTCCTGCGAGAGGCCAGATCCACTTTAAAACAACATGGAAAAGCCAAGAAGGCTTAGAATACTATTCACT